GTTTTAAGATAAGATAAAACTTTACTGATCCCACAGTGGGGAAATTTGCACATTACTGCAGCTCAAAACATGACAGGGTGAGATAGAATAAAGAAAGATAAGTAAGTAAGAACAGTTTTATTTATATAGCGCCTTTCACGTAAATAAATTCACAAGGTGCTGTATATTCAGGGAAGGGAGAGGGGGAAGTTAAGACAGGTCATGCAGCAAACACAGTTGCGCTACCTTTGGATAAACAGAAACATAAAAACTAAAAACCACACAAGGGAAAATGAGGAAAAAAGCAGAAACATCATATTATATCAACACTGTGACACACTATGGTGTTTATGAAAAAACCTCTGCATAGAGCAAGTTCAAGCCAGAGGAGTAAGTGAGTTTTAAGGGGCCCTAAGAATCCACTCCCCAAGACCAGTGCAGCCAAAGTTTAGAATATTGATGGTCAGTTGTTCATTCTGTGGGGCCTCAGCTTCCTCAGGAGTCAGATCATATGTGTGAGGGAGGAGGGAGGGGGAGAGCCATGTCAACATCTTCCAACCAGGAAGGATTTAACCAACAGATCCAAGGCTGTTGCCAGGGGAGATCCAGATTCTCTAATCAGTTGTTTTGGGAACAGAAGGACAGGCAGACAACAACAAATTTCCCTCTGCCTTAATGTCTGCTGATACTGTCAAGGTGGCGAATCCAAATCAGGCAAAATGGTGTGGACACATACCGCTGAGCCGATTCATCAGCTTTCTCCAAGATCAATTCCATCTTGCCAGCAAATTCCAGGGACCATAGCAGGCCTGCGACCCTCAATAGAACCGCTTGCAGACTGAGTCCAGCTCACTCAAGGCACAGTGTCCGAGTGCTGATAGCCGTTCATTCAGTTGGTCAGTCAGCCAGAATGTGCAAAGCCACCGACACTGTTTTGTAGAACACCAGGAGACCACCAGGCCAAACTGTAGAATCCAGTGATCGGAGTCCAAATATATATCCAGAACAGAGAAGAATAGAGGTCCCACCCTCGACGTCCTCCGATGGAAGCAGAAAAATAAACTTTGTTCCAAAAATTTTATTGAGAGACCAGCTAACCAAATCCATAAAAATAAAAATATACATAATTTCTGGTTTCAGATGAAAAAATGTATAGAAGGCTCCAAGCAGCAAAGCAGGGAAGATAAGGAAGGGCAGGAGAGAAGGGAGAAGCGTCTTCCTCCTTTGACATGGAGGACCAAAACTGTCGAATTAGAAATAAAAACAAAAATAAATATAATTAGAAATAAAAGCAGAAATATATATGTACTGTATATATTGTTTTTCCTTTTCCTTACAGGTGTGTTTTCATCAAGAAATAACAATATTTAAATTTTTCCTTTTCCTTGCACATGCATTTTCGTCAAGAAATGTTTATGTATATTGCTTTTTCCTTTTCCTTATACATGTTTTCACATAGAAATGTCAATGTTATGTTTTTACTTTTCCTTATACAGGCGTTTTCATCAAGAAATATATATATATTGTATTTCCTTTTCCTTACACGTGCATTTCATCAAGAAGTGTAATATATATTGTTTTTTTCCATTTCTTATACATGCATTTTCATCAAGAAAAGTATATATTTTCTTTTACCTTTTCCTTACACATTCATATTCATCAAGAGATTTGTATATATTCCGTTTTGCCTTTTCTTTATACAAGCGTTTGTTCTTTTTACATTTCCTCGTCTTGTCTTCTGTTTTGTTTTACCATCTCCCTCTTTTGCTTCTTTTTATCGCATGCTTGTATGCAAATGAGGAGGGCTGTCTTGTGGTCCAGCTCCTCCACGATTGGTCAATAAACGGGAAGCAGCGATCGATTGTGCATGTCTGCGTCTTTGGCTTCAGTTTAGAAACCGAAGTATACCTACGGTTGTGTAGTTAGTTTTAAGGTGGATATTGTATTGATTTGATTTGATTTGATTTATTTATTTAACAGGAAAAGATTATTAAAAATCAAGCCTGACTCAGCATAATTGCTGTTTTACAGCAGGTTCCTGTTCTGCAGCACATAAAACACTCATCACAATCACATCATTATACACCATAGACACAAAGACAAACAAGCATACCAAATTTCTGGAAGGC